AATGCCTTTGCATAGTCAATAAAACACAAGTAAGCATCTTTCTGGTATTCTTTGCCTTGAGCCAAGATCCATCTGACAACAGCTATGATATCCCTTGCTGGTGTATAGAAACTAATTTTTGTGTTGATTTTGAACTCTAATTTTTATTAATTCATTCATACTCTTTATCTGTAAGGTTAGTAATAATCTCTCCCCTTTTAGTTATTTATATCTTCTTTATCAGACTAGATAGAGGTTTGTCACTTTTGCTATTTCCAAAGAATCAACTTTTGGTTTTGATTCCCACCTCTTTTTTTTAAAAAATTTTTTATTGTGATTTGGGTTGATCCCATTATTTTTCTATTCTCTGTTTTGCTTATCTCCACTATAATACTATTTTCATTCTTCTGCTAGTTTTGTGTTTAGTTTTTCTTTTTCTAGTTCTTTGAAGTGTAAAATTAGGTTACTGATTTGAGGTCATTCTTCTTTATTATTGTAGCCATTTACAGTTATAAATTTCCCTCTGAGAACTGCTTTTACTGTGTTTGGCATGTTGTTTTCGTTTTCATTTGTCTCAAAATATTTTCTAATTTTCCTTGTAATTTCTTCTTTGACCCAATGATTTTTAAGGAGTATGCTGTTTAATTTCCATATGTTTGTGACTTTTCCAGTTTTCCTTTATAATTTTAGCTTTATTCCACTGTAATTGAAGATACTTTGTATGATTTCAACTTTTTAAACTTACTGAGACTTGTTTTATGGCCTAATATATAGCTTATTCTAGAGAATAATTCATGTGCACTTAAGAAAAATGTGTATTCTGTGGTTGCTGGATGGAGAGTTGTGTGTATGTTAGATTTAGTTGGTTTGTACTATTACTCAAGCCCTCTGTCTTGTCTCATTCCCTTGTTGATCTATGTCATATTATTGAAAGTTGTGTATTGAAGTTTCCAACTATTACTGTAGAGCTATCTTTCCCTTCAATTCTGTCAATTTGCTTCATGTATTTTGGGGCTGTTTTTTTGGTGCATGTATGTTTATAGTTGCTGTTATCTTCTTGATGAACTGGTCCTTTTATCAATAGATAGTGACTTTTTGTAATAATTTTTCACTTAAAGTCCGTTTTGTCTGATATTATAGCCAACCCAAATCTCTTGTGGCTACTATTTGCATAAAATATCCTTTTCCATCTTTTAACTTTCAGTTTTTGTCTTTGAACTTAATTTTTTTCTATCAATGGGCAAATGCTGTCCTCTTGATCTCATATGCATGATTGTTCTGAGTACCTACCCTCCTAGTATTATTGTTCACCCTACAGGCCTTTCTACTGTCTGATAATGTTTTCTTGAGGCTTTATATCCATATCATGAGGAATAGTGGCTTGCTTGCAGTTTTCTTTTCTTGTAATGTCTTTGTGTCATTTTGGTATCAAAGCAATACCGGTCTCATAAAAAAGAATTGAGAAACATTTCTTTTGTCTTTAAAATCTATGAAGAATTAGTATTATCCCACCTTTAAATGTTTGATTGAATTCTCCAGTCAAGCTCTGTGGGCTTGAGTTTTCATTACAGGAAGATTTTAAATTATTATTAGAGTCTACTCGTATTTTCTATTTCTTCTTCAGTTGGTTTTGGTAATTTGTCTTTGTAGGAATTTTTCCACTTCATGTAAGTTGCCTAATCTGTTGGTGGTTACACCCCCTTTCATTCCTAATGGTGATAATTTGACTCCTCTTTTTCTTAGTTGGTCTAGCTAAAGTTTTGCCAATTTTGTAGATGTTTCCAAAGAAACAACTTTTAGTTTGATTTTCTCTATTAAAATTTTCTGTTTCCTATTTCACTGACTTCAGTTCTTTATTATTTCCTTCTGCTTGCTTTGGTAATTGATTTGAGATCTTTCTTCTTTTCAAATTGCAGTGCAATGAGTTTCTTTATAAATGGCCTGACTCTAGTTCCTTAGTTCTGTCAAGATGATTTGCTAGGCCATAATCTTGCAAAGGGATTGGACACTTTACTATGTAATTAGTGTGCAAAACTCTTGTGGGAATTGGCTGATTGCTATACAGACTAGGCGTCTGTGGACTACCTGGGGGATTGATCAGTTTTGCCATCCTGTTAGGCTTAAAAGGACCAAACCCACAGAGGTTGAGAGGAGATCTCACCACCATCAAGAAGAGCTGGGAGTGGAGTGTGTCTTTTGGACATGGGGTCCTTGCACTGAGAACTTCCTAGACTCAGGTGAGAACATGCTTAAACACTGAAGATGGTATGAAATTGCACAAAATAGCAGAGGAATGCAGTGGTCTCACCGACCCACACACCAAGAGAGCAAAATGTCTTCACGCAGGCGGCTTGCTGGTGGAGTGAAGTGCCTCTGGGCACTTAATGGTGGAGCCAAAAGAGCTGTAGTGTTTGCCTGAGCAGGGTCAGCCTGTGGGCACAGCTGAGATGTGTAGCCTGCATGTGGGCATGGCTAAGAAGGAGCTGAGAGCTGTCTTGACTGGAACTGATTGATGAAGTGTATCCTGAGTTGTTCCTGTTACTTCCAAGTTGATGCTGATCCCAAGTTATAGCCTTTTACTTCCCTGATAAATCACGTAACTGTGAATATGGTCTGTGTGTTCTATGTGGCAACTGCAGTAACTTACCAACTCAGCAGTGAAGTAGAGAGAGTACCATGAGGACAGCTGGTGTCAGAACTGGTAAAAAGGTTGGAGAGTAGAGGTATAGGTAACCTCCACCTCATAGGAATCAGCTTTGGGTTGATGCTGATTCTCCTCTCTCCCCAACATTAGAGGACTTCAGATGCATTAGGTTGCACAAATACAGGTGTTTAAAGCCATAGATTTCCTTGTAGTGCTTTGGCTGTGTCCCATAAATTCTGATATGCTGTAATTTTATTTTCACACAGATAAGAATATTTTTTTTAATGCTCCCTGTGATTTCTTCTTTAATTTATGCATGATTTTGAAATGTGGCGTATAATTTCCAAATATTTGTGGATTTCCAGGTTTCCTTTTTTTTTTCTAAAAACTTTTTATTGTGATTTGGGTCAAGGGTTACAGAGCAAATTAGTTTTCCACTCAACAATTTATACAATTTTATTTTTTGTTATTGATTACAATCCCCACAATGTAACATCATCACTCATTCCCATATTTTGTTGATTTCTAATTTAATTTTGTTGTGATCAAAAATCGTATTTTATTTGATTTAAATTGTTTTCAATGTATTACTTTCAACAAGATGCACTTATTACCCTCAATGAGATGAATTTTAAATTTATTACAAGATGGATTAACACAGTGGCTGCAAAAATGGGCTCAAACATAGCAACAATTGTGAGGATGACCAGATCAGTTGTTTTGTTCTGTTGTATACAGGGTAACTATGAGTCAGAACCAATTCAATGGCACCTAACAATAACAAATGTAATATTACTTACCTTATGGTCTAGACTATGGTCTTTCCTGGGCAATCTTCTCTATACCCTTGAGAAGAATGTGTATCTTTTTGTTATTGGGCTCAGTGTTCTGGATTTTTTTTTTAAAGACAGGATTTTTATCCCTAGGAAGCCTGTAATTTACTGTACGAAACCACCAAGTAAATGGTCACATACACACACAACATAGTACTCACTAACGTCCATGCAGGAGGTGGAGAAAAGAAAAGCAAGCTCCCCAAAGGTGATCCAACATCTTATTTTCAGGAAAGGGAACAAAGGAGAAGCTGTAAGATGGACTTAGAACTATTAAGAAACATGTACTGCTGTCATTTTTAAAAGCTATTAAAATTCGAAAGTTGGCTGGTCATGAATATCAGGGCTCCCACTTAGTCTGGTCTGGAAAAGCAATTTATTAATAAACTACACATTGTTGCATCATTTTTACTATAGAAAATACATTGATTATAACTTTGTCATGATCCACTATTCATTGTAATGACAATACCTGAATCTAACTGATAGACAACTGTTCCTTTTTCCTCGCCTACAATTTCTGGTGCCTTTTCATTCCCTGTAGGTTGATAGAAATATTCCCGTTGAGGTGGAATCCATTCTGAAAGAAAACATTAAAGAAAATGCACAAAATAAAAAACAGAAAAGGTACTTTATTAGAACTGATATAATAAAATTAAAATAATAACTATTCAGATGGCTACTTTGGTTGAGGCAAACCAAATTTTCACCCTGAGCTTCTAGGTGGTTTATAAATTATATCTTGCTTCTTTCCCAAGAGACTATGAAGAAATTTTTAACAAAAAGCACATACAATGAAATAATCAACTTTAAAGAGAAGACTGAAATGTAAGAGCAAGAAAAAGATCACTAAATATATGCCAACAGAAAAGTCAATAGAGTTACTATGATAGATCTTTAGAATTTAGCTCTGAACTGCCTCAAAGTCAGGAAAACACAATCTGCTACATACTTTTTTTTGTTAAATTATAGAGGAACAAGTATGTCAACTGTTTTAGAAGACAAGGCTTTCTCATTAGGAATGAATTCCAAAAGAAACTTCTCATATGGGATTTGGGCAACTTCTCAGCACTGTTGTAAGTGTAACAGCCACTCACGAAAGGGAAGGGGATATAAACATGTAATTCAGTAAAAGATGATGCTAATTCCTTTTTTTAAGGGAACAGAGAGTGATGAGTCTTTGAAAATTCAATTTTCAAATAAGGTGTTTGTTGTTAAAGTTCCTTGACATTTTCTAAAAATTTATTTTCTATTCTCATGGAATCTAGGCTTTCTGGTCATTGAAACTGGACGACCTCTGAAACTACTGCCCTGAGATAATCTTTAAACCCTCAACCAAAACTATCCTCTTAAGTCTTCTTAAACACAAACAACCATTTTGCTTAAGTAGTAAAAAATGTCTGCATTGACACTGTGCTCTTTTGAGAACTATCTATATGGGATCAAACTGACAGCAGCAACTGGAAAGATTAGATAGGAGCCTTAGGGGACAGACAGTAAGTAATATGGAAAAGAATAGCAAGAATGATTGCATAATTTGAGGAATGTTATCAGTCACTGAGTAGCACATGTGGAACTATTGAACTGGTATACGTTTTGCTGTGTATATTTTCACCAAAAGAAAAGAAATTGCTTTTCTGAATATCTGGTGGTTTAGTGGATTACTACTAGAATAATTTGAACATTAAGTTCGGTTTTCCTACTTTATTTCCCTTCCTTGCCTGTATCCTTAGTACTTAGTTCCAAATTCTCGCAGCAATTCTGTCTTGATCTAATTCTCACCTATTTCCATTGTCTCATGTATAAAAAAAGGAGCTCTGGTGGCACAGCGGTCAAAGCATTTGGCTGCTAACAAAAAGGTTGGTGGTCTGAACCCACTAGTTGTTCCTGGGGAGTAAGATGTGGCATTGTGATTCCATAAAGATTTATAGCCTTGGAAACCCTATGCAGCAGTTCTATTCCTTCCAATAGAGTTGCTATGACTCAGAATCCATTTGATGGCAAAGGGTTCTTTTGTATTGAGAAAAAACAAAAATCAAACTCATTGTCGAGTCAATTCCGACTCATAGTGATCCAACGGGACAGAACAGAACTGCCCCACAGGGTTTCCAAGACTATAAATCTTTACGGAACAGACTGCTGCAGCTGGTAGGTTTGAATTACTGACTTTTTGTTTAGCTGCCAAGCACTTAACCACTGTGCTACCAGGGCTATCACTATCTTATATAGGAAATAGCAAAACTCTCCTGTCTGGCCAGATTAACCTGTAGAGGGTAGGGACAGATGATCTTAGGACTCCCCAGTCTCTGTGTTAACTCAACATGCTCCACATATTTCCAAACATGCCAACGGTTCTGCCCCTACTGACCTCCTCCCTGTACTTTCAGTCTCATCTCGTGTTTCCTCTAACTGGAATATTTTCTTTGACCTTCCTCAACTGGATCGCTTCTAACTCAAAGTTTAGATCTCAGATTAAATGCCAACTCCACCCGGAAACCTCTGATCTTCAAGGTTGGGTAGGTGTTCCCAGAGACACCAAACTCTATGCAATTGCCTGGTTATATCTTTACTTTCCCTACTAGTCCCTAAGTTCTGGGTAACACCATCCTGTTTATCACTGTATCTCTAGCACCAAGTACTGTACTTAGCATATGGTAAATGCTGAAAAACTATTTATTGAATGACTGTTATAAAAGTGGAGTTAGAAAATAAGGTGTTTTATTCAGCACAGTCTAAAGCAGAGACATGATGTTTTATGGACATTAAGTGTTCCAGTAATTAGAAAAGTCCCCACTTTTCAGTGCAAACCACTCTTGTAAATGCTTCGTAAAATGAATGCTAAAGATTATACTTATACCAAGAGCTCAATACAACTAGTAATGTCATAAGTATCCACTATTCCCCCCAAAAAATTCCAATAAACTTGAATTATAATTAGTAACAGTAAAAATTATGCTGTAAACCTAAGTCTGGTATATGTCTTCAGCAATTATAACCAAGGCTGACAAAAATATAACTCTTAATAAAATTAATTAAGCATACTACTAGTGAGACAAGAAAAATACAAAAAACAGATATAAATATTTACATATTTTGGTCTCTAGAAAAGTATCCTCACCTTCCAACATTCCAATAAATTCAGAAGCATTCTAGTTTACACACCAGTCTCTCTAGATTTTGCTGAGTGCTTATCATTTTCCAAGACTGTAATCATTTCAGGGTAATCTAATGCCTTATACTTTAACATGCCAGACTTGCAAGTTTAAGGTCTTATAAGAGAGTCAGAAAAGCGGTAACACCACATATAATTCATATTACCAATATGACGAATGCTTTCTTTGATGACCTCACATTCTATTGGCCATCTTGGAGCCAGCAGTGGCCCGCTGCTAGAAAAGAGTATAAAGAGATCTCGGGGTTCTCGAAGACGTGGCTTTATGTCACTCAACTCATCATAAAGAAGCTGTCTGCTCTTAAGAAGAGGTGAGTACCGCATAAGTGAATCTGTCAAACGGAAGAGGAATGAGTAAAGAACACTTCCATTTCCTCCTTGAGAACTTTACTGTTCAACTGTAACAACTAAGCAATTTCAAGCACTGTTATTAAAATATTAGCAAAGATGTGTAATCCTAAAACACACTTCTCTTTCAAAAAGGAGATGTAGTCTAAGATGAGAAATTCAAAATTATAAATGTGAAATTAAATTTTTGCACACTCTATTAAATATTTAATTGTAAACCTTTAGAATAAGATAGAGGAAGTTTCTCTTGTTTTTAAAGTTAATGGGTCCAAGATATTTCAAAAGTGTGTCAGATCAGAAATGAATATAAAGGTACTTAATGTATTTTATTATTTTTGTTTTGAGATGCAAGAAGGGGGACTTCCCATCAACCCATTAACATTTCAGAGAAAGGTGCACAAAATGTTATTAACTGCACTGAAACAATTTACAAATGGAATTTCAGGTCACTAATTAATTATTGAAAAGACAGAGAGCCATAAAACAAAGGCTGGGAAGGGAAGGCACAGAGAAAAGAGAAGGGGCAGATGACAGGGAAGGAGGGCTCTTTGGGAAAGAAAGAATGAGAAAAAAGGAGGAAGAAAAGGCTTTCAGGGAGAAAGAAAGGAAATGAGGCGGGGCAGAAGAGGCCCAAGGGCCCTCAGTGCCTATCAGCTGGGGGTCCCAGTGCTACCTGAGAACACTCCACTGGAGGACAGGGCAGAGTAAGAAGGGGGAAGACATAATTCCTTCAAAGAGCTTGGAGTTTCTGGTGTGGAAGGACAGGCATTACCTCTGCTCAAGGTTTCTCGCTGTCTTTGCACAACTGAAGATAAGCAAGTAGGCCCTGGGAAGAAGGAGGAGGCACGGCTTGTCTTAGAGATCTTTGTCTTTTTCTTCCTGCCCATTTCCCCCCACTGCTTTCCACCTCCAACCTGGGCCCCTTCTTTTCTATCTAAATCTTCTCCCCTCGGTTTAATGGAAATGAAAACACACACACACAAATAAACAAACACTTAAAAAAATGGTAAAAGTCTCAATCTCATTCATAATTAAAGAATGTAAATCAACAGTACAAGAAGATACTCTAGTTTTTCACCTAAAAGACAGGGAAAATATTCACCTATTTTCACACTCATCCCAGCAAATGTGTAAGTAAACAGGCATTCTCAGAACCTGCTGGCTAGAGGGCAAACTGCTGCCACCTTTCTGGTTTCAAATTGAAGACACACAGGCCCTTTGGCCCAGCAATCCCACTGCTAAGAATTTACCTTAGGTTTTCTCACGTAAGTTTGTCAAGATACCTATACAAATATGCTCATTACAGCCATGTTCAAAATAACAAAAAGTAGAAACCACCACCAAAGTGGAAACAATCCATCAACACAAGTAAAAACTAATTATGATACATTAATGAGATGGAGTGATATAAGTACCTTTAAAAAGAATGAGAGTGATTGTGTTCATATGAAAATAGTATCTCTCAGATATGAGGCAAAAAAACCAAAGTAGATTGTGTGCAGGATCTGTGAGTCACTAAAAGAAAAACCATACAGATCCATATGAGGATGTACATAGATAGATTTTTTTTTTTTTACTTT